ATATTTAGGGTCAAAGAGGTTTTTCCTGGTGTTTAACCCAAATTCCTCCTTCCTGAAGCAAACATCTTATAGGAAGACTGTCAAGGTCCCCTTGGAGACAGTGAAGCACTTTGGAAATATGGGCTCTGAAGATTAATAGGAATATGACCATGTGGCCATTTGTGTGCTTGGCAAAGTCTGTCTACATATGCTTCTGTGTGCCAATGTGAGCATGTGTGTATCCATGCCAATGTGTGTGTGATGAAGCGTACAAGTGTGTACAGGAGTGTGAGTAAACAGATCTTTGAGTCACACAGGCTGGCCCATCCTGGCGGGCTTTGTCTTCCTTTTGGTTGCCATGACAGCAGCGAGGGCCTCGGATCAGTAAACAGAGCTCCGTGGGTACTGAATCAAGAGGAGGGGTCTGGAGCTAGAGGCCAAAACAGGAGCCAAGTAGTCCTCCAACAGAGCATTTCTTGTCACAGCAGACCTACCAGAACATCTTCCTCACTAGAGAAATGTAGGGATACCTGTCCAGGTGCCCTGTGACTCCCAGGTGGCATAAGATGGGCAGGAATTTCAGGCTGGAGCGAGGCTTCAGTGAACCTCACTTTTAATCCCCAAGAGTATTCACCTCATGATAAACTCTAGCAACATGAATGACCAGAGCCTCTCCCATCACCCTATAGACTAAAATCAGTCACTGTAATTTATTAATATACAGATTAGCCACTTTGTGAGTTATCTGTGGCAATGGCTCCCTTACAGGTCTGTAAGTTCATAAAATATAAATCAGTTTTAATATTAACATAAATATGATTTGAAACACAGCTGTGCCTTCTACCTGGCCCCCACACCCCTGAGGTACACATGATAAATGTTTTGGGTATTTATACCTTGTCTGAGATTATCTATATGGTTCTTCCACTCTTCTAATTGTGAATAATGTAGAATTGGCTATGTATGAATAGCTGATTTTTACAAATTATGCCTCTCATGTAAACTGCTGGGAAACAAAAGTAGTCACAAATGTAAATTCACTAACTAGAATGAAAGAAGAAAATTGTAGTAAACCATGCAGTACAAGGAGATCAACCTTCTTCTTCGTTTCCGTAACTGAAGTTTAGAAACCCAAACCTTGCATATATACGTGACAACCAGAATAGAGGCTCGTCCATGGTCAACTCCAGCTCACCTTCCTTTCATCTGTGTGAGAGCTGTGTCATGAGAGGAACTGCAGCTTATCCTCCTAGGAAAAAAAAAAAAAAACAGCCAAAAATTATGGATTGCAGAATTGAGTAAGAAGTATCTATAATGAAATACAATTTGGATTTGTCCCTCAGTTTTATTGGGATATAACTGACATATGAGATTGTTATTAGTTTAAGGTATACAACACAATGATTTGATATATGTATATATTGTGAAATGATTACTGCAGTAGGTTTAGTTAACATCCATCACCTCACGTAGTTACAAATTTTTTTTCTTGCGATGAGAACTTTTAAAATCTACTCTCTGAGTAACTTTCAAAGGTATAATACAGTATTGCTAACTATAATCACCATGCTGTACATTACATCCCCAGAACTAACTTATAACTGGAAGTTTGTACCTTCTGACCACCTTTACCCATTTCCTCCACCCTCAACCCCCGCCCCCTGCCTCTGGCAACCACCAATCTGTTCTCTGTTTCTATGAGTTCAGTTTTTTTAGATTCTACATATAAGTGAGATCATGTAGTATTTGTCTTTCTCTGTCTGACTTATTTTACTTAGCATAATGCCCTGAAGGTCTATCCATGTTGTCCCAAATGTCAGGATTTCCTTCTTTCTTTATGACCGAATAATATTCCTGGGTGTGTGTGTGTGTGTGTGTGTGTATGTATCTCCCACATTTTCTTGATCCATTCATCTGTTGATGGACACTTGGGTTGTTTCCATGTCTTGGCTATTGTAAATAATGTTGCAGTGAACCTGAGGTTGCAGATTCTCTTTGAGATAGTGATTTCATTTCCTTCAGATATATACCCAGAAGTAGAATTGCTGGATCATATGGTAGCTCTATTTTTAATTTTTTGAGGAACCTCCATGTTGTTTTTCCTAGTGGCTGCACCAGTTTACATTCCCACCACAGTGTACAAGGGTTCCCTTTTCTCCACGTCCTTGCCGATGCTTGTTATCTCTTGTCTTTTTGATGACAAGCATTCTAACAGGTATGAAGTGATATCTCATTGTGCTTTGATTTGCATTTCCCTCATGATTAGTGAAGTCGAGCAGCTTTTCATGTACCTGTTGGCCATTTGTACATCTTCTTTGGAAAAGTGTCTATTCAGTTCTTCTGCCCATTTTTTAATTGGATTGTTTGGGTTTTTTGCTATTGAGTTGCATGAGTTCTTTATATATATTGGATATTAATACCTTATCAGATAGATGATTTGCAGAATATTTTCTCCCTTTCCATAGGTTGCCATTTCATTGGATTTTTATCATTTTACAATCTCTTACAAGAATTCAGTCAGGACTCCTAGAGTAAACCAGATTTCTTCCTGCCTCTGCTTATGAGCAGAGAGTTTTTGTGTCCTTCTAATGTCAACACTGACTGATGAGGAAACTGAGACAGAGAGGTTACTGCCCAGTTTATTAGCAGCAGAGGTTACCTGGATACCTTGCTTTGGGAATCAACTAGGTAGTATTTATGCTTCATCACAGGGGGATTTATTTTTGTTCCCCTTCCTTGGAATTCTGAAATTGAGATGCATCCCATCTGGAGTTCTGTTGCATCTGTGGGTGTAGAAACGCTGGATGGAGCAAATGAAAAGGAGCCGATTACTCATCCTCTTACCTTAAGCCACAGGCTAATGCCAAGAGGGCTTAGGGAACATGCACACTCTTCTGTAAGCCAGATTTCCTCCTTTTAAACTTCCTGTTGCTTGATCCAAGGGAACTGGATAAAGTGAGATATTCTTAGGGCCACCTTCTGGGGTACCTTTCAATAGGAAGTTTGGCAGTGGTCACCTGGGTGACTAAGTAAGGGAACAGTCATATGCTTTATCTTTGCAAAAGCATCATCATCTGAATAACGCCAGGATCCTCTGTGAAGAGGAGAGCATACTCAGGTCCTCAGGTTAGAGACGGGGACCAGTGGGAGGAGCATATTTCCTTTTCCTAGGTCTGGCCACGTATATGCTCATGAGACTGGCGGGCATGTTGAATCTAAGGTTAGAATAGTTACTTACTTTTGGCAGGTAATGGAGCTGAATCCTGTTTGTCCCTGTTTGCTCTGGGATGCACTATGCATGTAAATAAATGGTGACTATGGTGTGGACACAAAACCAAGCAGTACATCACTAGCTTGACTAATGCTATGAATTTTATACTTGGTCTTTGTTAACCCAACACAGAACGATGGATTTGTATCCTTTTGGAAAAAACATAAAACTCTATGTTTATATCCTTATTTTCCTCAACCCCAGGCTGAAACTAAATCCCTTTTGTAGATGTTAAATGTTGACTTCTAGATGGCATGAAAGACCGCTGAGGCATTGCAGAAACAGTGTTTAACCTGGAATCAGAAGGCATTAGTTTGAATTCTGGTTCTGCCTCCTGCTAAATGGATGATCTTGGGCAAGTAACCTTTCTGAATCTCCTAGGGTTTTTGCAAATATAAATGAAATAGTTTATGTGAAAGTGATTTGTAAATTAAAATGTTCACAAATGTGTTATATGTCTGTTAGTTGCTCTTAATATTTTATTTCCATAATCTATGGAATCTGCTATAATACTAGGCCTTGGATTAAACTCCATAGGTCCTTGTTGGAATGTGACATGATGCAACTTCTGCTTGGCCTCATGGAACCTGCAGACTAGTCAGAGAGAGAAACCCTGGGCACAAAAAATCGTGACAGCAAGGGAGGGGGTGAGAAGTGTCACGAAAGACACTGGTGTCAGACTTTCTGCCCTAGGCTCCTAATGGAAAAACAAAGCAAAACAGAGAAGGCCATTTGATAAACACAATAGAGAAGGACCCCTCCCCACACGCACAGTCCTTCTTCCTCCACTGACATGCAGGAGCTGCTTAGGAAGTATCCCCGCTGTGCACATTCTTTGCTTTACTTCTTTTAGCCAACAGGCTTCTTAAAAAGACCAGGCTGGATTTGTTGGGCTCTAGGCCTGTGAGCCCCAGCTAAGATGCCAGGTGGGAGGGTGGGAGGAAACGGGGCCTGCAGTGGCAAAGGAGAGCAGGGAAGCCAGCTGGTGAGGTTGGAGCCAGGAAACTTCCAAATACACAGGGAGGTTAGCCTGGGGTTTATTAGGCTCACCCACGAGATATGAAGCTCCCTGTTCATTCTGGGGGCCAGATAGAGGTGACACACGCGTACCTCATAGACTAATTCTACAGAGATTTTAGTGGAGCCAAACAAAGAGAAACAGCCGTGCCCACGAGTTACCTGGCGACTACGGCATTCCTGCCTAGTTCACCTACTCCCTTTGGGTCAGTGCAGAGATGGAGCGCTCCTTCATTTAAACCTTTGGGAGCCAGGGCAGAGCTATCAGGATGCTCACCAAGGCTCACCAAGTCAGCCTGGATATTTTTAATTAAAAAAAAAATCTATTGGACATATACCATGTGCCAGGCCTAGTCTGGTCCAGGAAGATACGAAGTTGAGTAAGACACGGAATATTTTTACAGAGAGCTCACGTAGAGGGAAAGACCGTGACCTGTACAGCTCACCACAAAAAAGGTGTGGCTGAAAGGGGAGCTTTAAAGAGACAGAGGGAAGGTAGAGTGGAGGCCAGAAGACTGGGGGCAGGGGGGAGAAAGGAGGGGAAAGCTAAACAGAAGAAGTGATATTTCAACCTGGCCTTGAAGAAGGATTTTGACAGACTCAGGCAGATAAGGGATTCCAGGCAGAGAAGCAGTGTGAACTAAGCCTTAGGAGCCTTTGCTGTATTTTTGGGAACAGTGAGAAGTGTGCTGTGGTTGGAGCATGACCCTGGTGGGCTGCAGGCAAGCAGGGGATGGATCGGAATGATGGGAGGTAAGGTTTGAAGAGAAAGGTTTGGATCAGACTGTGCAAAACTTTGAAGGCCATGTTAGGTGTTTGTACTTCATTTAGCAGTGGATGGAGGAGGCTGTGGAGAAGGGGGAATAGAGTAGAGAGAAGATAGAATTTAGAAGATCTGAAGGTCATGGTTTCTCTTAGTGGCTATATGTCCTTGGACACTTGCCCTCTCAAAGGTCCACTTAACACCCCTTAGATTCAGTTTTCTGAGCTGGAAAATGGAGATGTTGGTAACAATGCTCAGCCTAGATGCTAAAGGATTATTGTGTTCCTCTGGTCATAAACTGCTTAAATTCTCCCCTTTCAAGGTCTTGTTCAAAATATTAATTCCTTGGTAAACCTTCCTGAATTCCCCCAGAGCGTAGTTGAAAACTCAAGACACATATGAAAAGATATGAAATGATTAAGGAAACAGCACATAGATATGCTGCTAGATTAGGCAGATATGTGGGGCATAAGGAGCTTGGGCTCTTAGTGCAGACGGGCCTGGGGTGTAATCCTGGTTCCATTTCTCACTTAAACTTGAACAAGTTGTTTAACTTTTAAATTGAGGATGAAAATACCTGTTCTACCGTCTTCTCAGGATGGGTGTAAAGATTAAATGAGCAAAATGTATAAAGGTGCTCGGAAGTTAGAAAGCGCTCCACAAATATTACTTGCTATGGTTATTATTTTAGGTTTGGAAGTGATCAGATCCAATGCACGTTTTAGAAAGATAACTCTTACATAGCTGTGAGGTGGATGAAATGAAGGGAAGACAGACAGGCGGTTGAGAGACCAGTTGGTGTTATTGCAACAGTCCAGACAGGAAAGGATGAGGTCCTAGACCAAGGCAGTGAGGATGAAGAGGAAGAGTGGATCCAAGTGCGCTTTTGAAGATAGAACCGACGGAACAATGGCACTAATTGGACAGGAGGGATAGAGAGAAGACAAAGAGCCAAAGGTAAGAACTTGGGTAGATGCTGACGCCTAGTCACTTTCTAATTGCTGAAATCTAGGAAAGAAGGTGAGGAAAGAGATGCCCTAGGGCTTGAATTCTGTTACCCTGATTCTCACTGGCCCTGGCACTCCTCATTTTGACTCTCTCCCTCACCCTTCCCCCACAACACCGTTAGTAGAACCTGCTGAAACTAAAGCCAAGCCTAGGAGAACTTCTCCTTCCAGTGTGCCTTATTCCCATGCCCTCAGCGTGACTGTGACACCTTATAAGGTGTCTGTGCCCAAGGAATCCATCTGTATCTTGGCAGGAGGGGCGGATGAGGTATCTCACCTTCCCCTGCACTGGGGCTGGGACACATCCCTCAGTCCCTGGCTTGTTTCTTCCTCCCTAGACATGAGGGAGTAGCTGGCAGGACCCACAGTGGGTGCTGGACTCCTTCGTCTTCAGGCTCTTTTTTTATGGGGAACACCTTGAATAAGTGAAACAGCTTCCAGGACAGTAGGAGAGTGCCTGAGCCGAGGCTGGGAGGCACCACACGAGCAAGGGGCATTTTAGCCTGGAAGGGTGTTTGGTGATGAGAAGGACATTGGTAGAGATGGTTTGTGGAGGGGCCTATTAGCAAGTGAATATTTCGTGCTCCCCATTTCCTCACTCATTGAATTTGATCGTCTTTCTCTCTGCCAGGAAGCCCTCATTCCTCTTCTCTCTTCTTTTTCCCATGGGGCTTGAATCTTTTCATGGTCTTGTGCCACAGAGTGGCTCTGGTCCCCTGTGCTTGTTAATGGACCCTGTCTCCTCCCTGACCCTCACCTTGGCTTTCCCTCTGTCTCATCATCTCCCCTCCACCTCACCCATCTTCCCACTGTCTTTCTACTGGAGCCAGGTAGCCTTCTCATGTTCCTTCCTTTCTTATTTAACCTCCACCAGCCATTTTCAAACAGCATTTCAACCCTTCAAGACATCAGTGTCATTGGTCTTCAGTGGCAGCCCTCATTGAGCACCCTGGGATATAGGACACCAGAGGAAGCGCAGCACTGTGGTCAGAGTTCAGATCCCAGCAGGTTACTTCCCTTCTCTAAGCCTTGGTTTCCCCATCTGTTAAATAGAAATTTAATAGTGCTTACTTCATAGGGTGGTTGTGAGGATTAAATGAATCAATGGGCATGAAAAACTTCATACAGGGCTGGCACATAATAATTGATCAGTATTCATTAATCGCTGTTATTAAAAGCACAAAGAGGAGCTGTGCCTCTCGAGGGTTAAGGGCCTCATTGTGGCTAGGGAAATAGCATTTTAAAACCTAGTTTGTGGCATGACTAAGAAAGTACCTTCCAAAGTAGAGCACGCAGAGGGTGTAAGTGCTGACTGGAATGAAACTGATCTGATCTGGGAAGGCTTCCTGCGTGAGGCTGAATGAAGTGCGTTTCTGTGTAACGTTATAGGGAGATCAGGGTTGCAGCCAGGGACAAAGGCAAGGCGAGCAGAAGCGCCTGCTCAAATTCTCCCTCTCTCTACTTGCTTCACCTTTTTCTCAGTCACGGCACTGTCCAAACCTGGTACATCTTACCCTCCTTGTCTACAGGGAATTTGCCAAAGAGAGAGAGAGAGTGGAGAACCGGAGAGCTTTCATGAAACTGCGGCGCCAGCAGCAGATTGAGCGCGAGCTGAACGGGTACCGCGCCTGGATAGACAAAGCAGGTGAGGCGGGTGGGCTGGAGGAGGGTAGTGGGCTGCACAGACTGCAGAGACCTACCCTGCTTCTCACTCCCAATACTTCCATTCCAAGGGGCAGCCTGGACCGGAGCAGAGAGATGCTCGAGGTGCCTCATTAGCTCTGTGGGATCCCTGCTGGTCCCACTTTCTTCCTCTGGAGTCTTACTGTCCCTGTTCTTCCACCAAACACCTTTCATGAGGCAGGCATTTTAGCAAGGTAAACTGAGCAAAAGGTAACATAAGCCAGTCCTGGAGCTGAGGTTGGGCTGGTGACATCTTACACTACTACTACTAATAATAATAATAACAACCTGGTCATTCCACCAATGTTTATTGAGTGCTTACCTTGTGCTGGAACAGGTCCTGTTCCAGGCACTTGGGATACAGCAATGAGCCTGAGCTCTTCTCTTGTGGAGCTCATCACCCTCTAGTTAGAGAAGGCAGCAATGAACAAAATAATAAGTAACTTGTAAGAAGGTGATAAGTACAATGGAGACAGATCAAGATAGGGTTATGAGGTATAGGATAAGTTGTAATTTTAAACAGGGGTCAGGAAGACCCATCTGGGGGTGACTTGAAAGAGATGAGGGGTGAGCCACAGGAAGATCTGAGAGAGGAATATTCCAATGCCAAGGCTCTAATACGGGAGCAGGCCAGGAGTGCTCCAGGAGCAGAAGGGAGAGTGAGCAAGGAGACAGGATGAGGGCAACCCTGGTGGAGTGGGCAGCAGATCGTGTGTGACCTCATGGGCCATTGTAAGAGATGGGACTTTCCTGTGAGTGAGACAAGAACCACTGGAGAGTTTTGCACAGAGGAGGGACATGCTCTGATTTAAGATTTTCGGGGAGCACTTGGTTGTTGCATTGAGAGTAGACAGGAGGACAAGGCCGAAAGTAAGGAGACCAATTGTGAGGCCACTGCAGTAGGCCAGGTAATAGATGCTGGTGAACTGGCTTTTCCTGTTCCCTGAGCTGTCATCAGTTCCTTACTCTGTGGATCAGCATCAGGAATAATTCCTGCCCAGCCCCAAGGATAGGTCCAAACCTATCATGATTTCATTAACCCACAGAGCCACCAGATTCGAGTTTGACTGTGGCTCAGCTGCTTATGAGGGGCATAGATCACCCACATCTGTCAGTAAATGGGATACATTTGCTTTCCTTATTATTTTAAAAGTTGCATTGCATTGGTGTTATATATCTTCATTTTCTTCCTGTGCAGAGTAAGTTTTTTAATAAAAAAATACGCATGACCGTCACCATCTTTTCTCTGTTCCTGGTAGAAAGCATAGCAGAAATGTGAGGTCTCTCGGGAAAAATATGGAATATGATTTGATGGTTAGTTGCCTGTGCCTTATTCTTCTATAGGAGCTTTAGAATGACACTATGACACTCGTATTCTAACCACCAACACACTGAAGCTCTCTCGCAGCTCTGGAGTCCATGTTTGATTTATCAAGGGTGAGAGAGCAAGTGTGATTGAAAGTGCCATTTCAAAGCCAGAGAAAAACCAGCCTCTACCTGGGACCACCCGCGTTTCTTTGCTGCCTCTGGAAGCACGAGCCATGTGCATTGTCTGTACTTCCACTTCGCCCTTTCTCCTCGGAGGCTTTTGTTTGGGGGTGCACCTCCCCCACTCTTCCCAGAATGGCAACTCAGCCTTCCTGAGCAGATCTGTGCCAGGCCAGGCAGGCAGCTTGAAGTGTCCGACTGTCCTTGGCTTGCTGAGTGGAGGAGCCATCTGACCGACCACCCTAGTGAGTGGGCTGGCAGCAGAACCAGAGAAGCACCCTCCCCGCCCTCCCCGTGACCCCATTCGGGGTCAGACAGCACAAGCTGCTGCTCTTTGTGGCTCTGCTTTTCAAATACATGCACAATTCCAAGGCTCCGCTTTCTTCCAGTTGGCAAAGCCAGCTCTCTCCTCCTTCTAAGAAAAAAGACGCACTGCGACGTCAAGTTGTGCTTCCTGGCCCTTCCCTCTACAAATGCAGCGTGAGTGAATCAGAGACATATGGGTTACATTTCCCTGGAAAGACGCTCTCAAGTTCGAAAGCAACTTGGCAGGAGGCACGGGGGGAGGGGGCACTTCCAGCACATCCAGAGCCCTGCAGCAGGTCCCCGAGATACCCAGCAGCACCACCACCCTCCATCTGCCTTGGTGGTCCTCAGATACACTATACATGGGAAAAGTGACTCTCTGGCTGAGGTCATTCATGTCACTAGGAGGTATTTTAACAAGTACCTAATTTTCAAATGTGCCCTCCAAACAACATGTGCTGTAAATGACTTTAAAACCCTCTATGTCTGCCTCAAGGAGCATCTCACCGATAACACTTAACCTCTTAACTTAGAGTTTTGCCAGAGGCTGCGTTTAAAAAAGAAAGCTAAACACTGATGACTTGTTATAGCGGCCGTCCTGCATGGTACCCTCTCAGCCTCAAAACATTCCCCTCCCTGGGAAGTACCTGATATACTCGCAGTTTTGCATGCAGGTGGAATTATGGTACTGGCTTTACCCTCTTCTGCTTGTCCTTTTCCTTGTTAAAGGGCTGGAATTAAACCACTGTTTACTAGGGCCTGCTGCAGGCTCTTCCCTGGCAGCTGGGCTCCTGGGAATGATTGCTTAGGCCTCCAGTTCCCTCGCCTATGGCTGAGGTTGGGGTAGGGATCAAAACTCATCCAATCAGTCCCAGTAGACGACTCAGAATCCCACCAAACGTGGGGCAGAAGGGCTATGTTATTGGTAAGTTTGGAGAGATGCTAGTGAGGTTTATTCTAACAAATTTTACTAGAAAATAGTGTCCCACCGATGATGACACCTCCATGGACAACAGGACTGCTCCTGGGGAGGCCAAGAGGAGAGTCCCAGGGACCTTGTGGTTCTTTTCCAAACACCAACAACAAAATACATCATTCCAACGCCAACCAGTCCTTCAATTCTCTGACACCAATTGGGAGTCCAATGGTTCAATTCACTTCTGACACTAAACACCCCCCGAAGTTAGTGCAGACCCCACAGGTTAAAGGCCCAACCTCACAAGCCTGCCCCCACTTCACACGCCAGCTGCAAGTGGGGTCCCCAGGTGACCTGCATTTCTGCCCAGCTGACTACAAACTTTGGGGGGTTCCAGGTTTTATAATTCACTATACTGACTTAAAGAACTCAGGAAAAACCATACTTACTATCACCAGTTTATTATAAAGGATGCAACTCAGGAACAGCCAATGGAAGAGATACACAGGGCAAGGTAGTGGGGTGCTGGCAGTGGGGCACAAACTCTCGTGCCCTCTCCAAGCCTGTCACCCTCCCAGCACCTTGATGTGTTTGCCAACCTAGAAGCTCCCTGAGCTCCATCATGTAGGGTTTTTATGGAGGTCTCCTTACGTAGACATGATTGATTAAATCATTGGCCGTTGGTGATTGGACAATCTTAAGCCCCTCTCCCCTCCCAGGAGGTGGGAGGGGGGATGGGGCTGAAAGTTATAACCTTCTAATCACTTTTTCTGGTGACCAGCCCCAATCCTTAAGCTATGTAGGCCTCCCCCACAATGAGTCATCTCATGAGCATACAAAAGACAGTAAATTCCAAGGGTTTTAGGAGCTCTGTGCCAGGCAGGTGGACCAAAACCAAATATTTATTTTTTATTATGTCACAGGGACAGATTCATGATGGGCCCAAACCTCCTCAGCTCCAGCTGTGCCCAAGCGAAGCAGGATGGAAGTGGTGGAGGAAGAGGAAGCAAGCCCACAAGCCCGGCTCCTCTCCTTGAGGGCGCTCAGCTCAGCTCCTTCCTCTGCTCCTCCTCAAAGGAGACAGCCTAGGGCCCCAAACATGGTCTCGCCTCCAAAATGAGAGGGTTGATGTTATGACCTAGGGGCTACAGACAAGAGAAACTAAGGAAGCTTATATTGCTAGAAAACGTTTAAGGAAACTGGGTGGAAGTAAAAATGGAAATGGAAATTTTTCATTCCTATCAATTTAGGGGATTTTAGTTATAAAGATCGGCTCTTCCTCTCATGGGTATCCTCCTGAACAAGGATATCAGACACAGCTGAATTTTACCAATCATCCCCCAAGCGCCGCCTCACTAAAGAACTTCCTTTTTGGTCTTATGTGTCCCGGGAGCCCCCTCCATGACCCTTGATGTCTTTCTGAGGCTGGTGCCTGCGATGAGCTATGAGCTCTTTGCTCTCTCTCTGTTGCCCTGGAACCAGAGCTGTCCCTGAGGGATTTTCATTTTGCAAAATAATTTGGCATTTACAGATAATTTACTGAACCATTTGTTTCCATATAGAGGAAGTCATGCTTGCTGAAGAAAATAAAAACGCTGGGACGTCAGCCTTAGAAGGTAAGGAAGTGCTCCGATGCCTTACTCATTTGCATTTGCCCCCTCTTATGCGTGGCAGTCTCTCTTGATCAAAAGAGGAGAAAGAAATAAAAGAGGAGCGCTCTGGGATTTGAAATGAAAGTCTCTCTGTCATAAAATCCCTCATGCTTGAAAATAAAGGGAATTGAGTCACAGATTTAAATGCTTTTTAAAGTGATAAAAATGAAATCCGGGAGTTGCTTTGTTCCAGGGCGTGTGATTGATACTGTGCAATGAAAAGACCATCGTACAACCAATGGCATGGAAAGGAATCTTCTTTTTAAAATTTGTGGGGATCGTCTTGGGACCACTTTGATTACCAGGCATTGTTTATGAAGAGCCAGAACAAATAGATATGGAGTGCCTGTTTACCTACTGCATTTAGATGAGCTCTAGCAAGGATTCGGAACCCTTGTGTCTCAGAAGGTACTGCTGAGCACGGGAATCATGTTTCTGTAGACATTCTCAATGTTTATAACCCTGGCTCAGGTATTTAAAGGCATTCGTCTGTGTCACAAGGGCCTCTTGCTCACAGTCCTCAGTTTTGACCAGAATGATCTGGTTTTACTTGTGCTCTCTCACTGGCCTCCCCCCTCCTTTGTGTAGTGCTTCGAAGGGCAACCATCAAAAGGAGCCGGACAGAGGCCATGACTCGAGACTCCAGTGATGAGCACTGTGTTGATATCTCCTCTGTGGGTGAGTGGAACTAGTTAGATCTTCTTTTACTTCTCTGAATCTCCCCTAAAAAGGAAGATTCCACTACAGCCCGGTGGTGTAGTGGTTAAGTTCATGTGCTCTGCTTCGGCGCCTGGGGTTCACAGGTTCGGATCCTGGGCATGGACCTACGCACCACATATCAAGCCATGCTGTGGCAGGCATCCCACATATAAAAGTAGAGGAAGATGAGCACAGGGCCAGTGTTCCTCATCAAAAAAATGGGAAGACTCTGTCTTTTGAGAAGCACCACAAGGAGAAGGAGAATCCAAAGAGTCCAGAACTTAGGGACGTAATTAGAGAAAGACGTGGGAACCTAATCTAGATGACAATGACTTACAGAAAAAAATGGACCAGGGGATACTGTATACTTGAAACAGGGGGTTTAAGGCTAAGAAGCCAACCCAGATCCTTCAAGTATGGCTGCGTACATGTCCTCTCTCTCCTGGGTGTGATAATGAGAATCCACTTTGGTATATTGTTCAAAGGATCCTGAGGACCTATAGCTTCTAGGAACCACTATTTGAGAACCTGCAACCATTTACTCAACCAAAGTAGCACCCACCTACTTCCATCACCTACTTCCGCCTGGTATTTAAACAAATTCCTACTGACGACCTTTGAACGTGATTGGCGTTCAATCTCAGATTCTCTTAGAGGTTCTGCTGATGTCTGGCAGATTTTTTCTCACCAGAAAAGGGGAAGGGTCTCACTTCATCCTTAAAAGCAGAAGAGGCTCGCAGAGCTCTTTGCTGCTTTTGGCTGCCTGTGGTAAATACCACAAATGCAGCAGAATGACTCCAATGCCTGAAGCATGTTTAAGAGGAAAGGCCAGAGAGAAGCCCAATCTGTTGCAAACTTAGACATGATCAGGATTCAAGACACTGGGTGGATGCCTGGTGTCCTGCCCAGGGACTCTGTCAGTTTCCAAGGACTGAGAGTGCCCAGAGGAAAGCAGAGCTCTCTGCTGTGGAAACTACCGAGCCTGTAACATGGGGAGTCCCTGGGCCTGCAACATGGTGGTCACCCAGCCCTGGGATCGAAGCTGCCCATCTCGACCTCTGAATGCCTCTTGCCGTGGAGGGTGATCTTTTTGCAGCCTCATTCTTCCTCCTTACTTCTCCCTGTTAGGCACACCTCTTGCCCGAGCCAGCATCAAGAGTACAAAGGTGAACGGGGCCTCCTATTTCCGGCACAAGGAAAGGCTTCTGCGCATCTCTATCCGCCACATGGTAAAATCCCAGGTGTTTTACTGGATTGTGTTGAGCCTTGTGGCTCTCAACACCGCCTGTGTGGCCATCGTCCATCACAACCAGCCCCAGTGGCTCACCCACCTCCTCTGTAAGTGAACGGTGACAACTGGCTTTCATGGGGCAGCGTGGCTGGGGTGCAAATGTAAGAGACCAAGGCGTTGTGCTGGGCCTAGCAGCGGTTCTGCCCGCCCAGAGTTCTGCTTCTTCACTCTGTGAGGGAGGCCAGAGTTGTCCTCCAGGGGATAGGATGATCACATGACCATTCCCAGCTGTCATTCATTATTGAATCAGAGAAACGGATCTCTGCTGATGAGTCAACAAGATAGTGTTACATCTTGAGTACGCTAAGGCCTTCACTTAGTGTCTTAAGGAGACTCAATGGTGTAGGAAATTTTGGTCACTGAAGTCGTGGGGATGAAGTTCTCAGGGCGGTGGATACCTGAAATAGACCAAAAAGGGAACTTATAGGTCAGCTATCGTGGGTAAGGCTGCCACTGGGTGTGAGTAAGGCTCCAGGAGGGTGTGTGTAGGGCAAAGCCAGCTCTTTCCTCAAAGCTGTGGTAAAGCCCTTTCTTTCTCTCCTAAGAGCCATCTACCTTTTAAAGGGCAACGACAAACCCACCCGTTGAAAGAGAGCACAGCTGATCTGTGGAGTGTGCCTGGGACTCCTAGGTCAGAACAAATTCAGACAGCGTTAGGTTTTGCCCGGCACTGACCTGACATGGTCATTGCACGTCCTCTCACGTGTGGGTCCTGCTGGTGTTGAGGCTCCTCTGTAGGTGACGGTGTTGGGCTGGGGAGTGCAGGCACCCACACCATCTGTGGAACAAATGCTTTTGCTTTTGATGCTTTCAGACTATGCAGAATTTTTGTTTCTGGGACTCTTCCTCTTGGAGATGTCCCTGAAGATGTACGGCATGGGGCCCCGCCTTTATTTTCACTCTTCATTCAACTGCTTTGATTTTGGGGTAAGTGCTCGGGAGCCTGCCTGTCCTTCTGCTTTGTACTGATATGCCACAGTTTGAGATAAGCAGCTTGCTCCATTGCTCAGCACGAAGCCCTGAAATCAGAATTTATAAAAGGGGAATAGATTAGATTAGCTAAAGGGAGGTCAGGAATGAGTGAATCCTTGTCATACTAGGATTTGTTTGGGTTTTTTTAAAGTTCTTATTTTTAATGTTTTTATTGAAGTACAACATATATACCATAGAGTGCACACTTAAGTGTACGGCTTAGTGAATTTGAGAAAGCCACCCATAGCCAGAGTTTTGAACCACTCATTATCTTGGGGGAAGCCTGGGAGAGAAGGACAAAAGACTTGATTCCAGAAAACCCCATATATATATGGGGTTTTTTGGTTCAGTTTAAAATTGGGAAAATTATCTACATGTACTCTCATGCAGACATGCACACGCATATACACATACATACTCTTCTGTTAGCAAGTCCCCACGTAGACTATTTCATCCAGTGTCCACTTCCTAATAATGTTGATATATAAATGTGTGCATTGCTAGCGCTCTTCAAGGTCTTTCACATCCACTTTGTCCTCTGCTGCTCTCAGGAGTCCCATCCACTGTATTACGTGTCAGAAGTGAGCCCGCCCATTTACACAGGGGTAAAGAGAGGACATCGTGTACAAGTTCACATGGCCAGTTAGCAGTAGAACTAGGTCAGAAAACTTTGGGTTCCTGAACCACTTCTCTTGCTGCCAAACCCGCCTCTTTATCTGCCAGATCTTCAGTTAGGTGCTAATGATTTTGAGCACTTGCCAACCTGCATTTTAACTTGGAACAGATGCTTCTGGATACGGGCGATTTTCAGCGTAACAGCCAGTGAAAGACCATTTTAACCTTAATTTCCTTATATACCTCTTTTCACCATGGCTGTGAGGATTAATTTTTGTTATTTCACCTAGTGCAATGTGTGGAATATAGTAGACATTCAGTAAATATATAATTAAAACAAAAAACAAATTGAATTGTTAATTTGATGTTGCTACTTCCTATAGCAATCAGATTCTATGCGACCACATAGCACTGTCACATTGGTGTGTGTGGGACCTTAGTGACTGAAACATATTTAATAAACAGGTGACTGAAACTTTCTTGTTAGCATTAAATTCTAGGACAAAGAGAGAATGTGGACCTTCTCTGATATTTTTATATTGGAATGCAGACTTTATTGAAATTTGTTTCCTTTCTTTGAGAACCGCTTCTTTGTCTGTCTGTTCAAGGTGTTGTAACATAAGAGCAGTTATGCTATGAAATTTGTGCAAAAGTGACGACCAGCTGTTGTAGTTTTCACCAAGGACAGAGCAGGAGCCAGCAAACCAATCTACAGTGTGAAGGAGTAAAGTTAGCAGGGGAGTGGAGAGCAGTGGGGAGAGATGTGGTAGAGTCTCATTTCTCTTTGGCAGCCTTCACAATAGATAGCCTTCACCACCTACTGGAAATGGGCTTGGTGGGGAGGGGAGAGTTAATTTCACCATGGCCCAATGAGAACTGTTGATTGCTGAATCCTGGGATGCTCTTGTCTCCTCCTCCTCTCACTGTGGCTGGGTTTGGCTTCTTAGGTCACAGTGGGCAGTATCTTTGAAGTGGTCTGGGCCATCTTCAGACCTGGTACATCTTTTGGAATCAGTGTCTTGCGAGCTCTCCGGCTTCTAAGAATATTTAAAGTAACCAAGTAAGTGATCAGTAATGGAGACTCTTCCCAACCACCTTTGAGAGTGGAAGCTTCTCTCTGCCTTATTCTATTTCCATCCATCCCTGTTCCTCTTTACCACATGTTCCCTTTCCTTTCCCTGCCCCCCACTCCATTCTTTAGCTCCTCCTCCTTTTCCAAAGTTCAAACCAGAAAAATATCCTCGCTGCCAGATCCTGTGCCACGTTCCCAAGGGGACCCACATTATTGCCGCCATCTCTCCTTCCTAGAAGCATACAATGCAGCTTATTTCATAGAGCACCAGGCAGCTGCCCGGCTGGGCGTGGCAATAACTTGGTATCAGTGTTCACTGCTGTAATGTTGTCTGGGTTTTGTAGGTACTGGGCTTCCCTACGGAATTTGGTGGTCTCCTTGATGAGTTCCATGAAGTCGATCATCAGTTTGCTCTTCCTCCTCTTCCTCTTCATCGTTGTCTTTGCTCTTCTAGGAATGCAGCTGTTTGGAGGCAGGTAAGCATCAACCAGCTTTCCTTCCAAAGGAGCCTCAAAGCCCAGTTTTCAGCCTGTGAGCGCCGGGGTTATTAATTTGATCACCATGTTACCATCTTGTTTGCTGTTGTCCGTGACCCAAATCGACCACTGAGTGTGTGTGTGTGGAACAAATGTCCCTGCTTTTAATCTTTTCCCATCGTTCTTGTTCTGGGGACCCGTCCCTTTGGGGCTGTCCCTTAAATGTACAGCATGAGGCCTTGTAACTCAGGATCAGCCCAAACCCCATCTCATTACCCATGCCCTCCAAAGAGCACAGTCCATCAGCAGTAGTCACTAACACCATTTTCATGAGTATATGAAATGGGGGAAAAGAAGGGAAAAGGAGGATGTGGAAAAAGGGAAAAGAAGTGATGAAAACTGTATAATCTTGAAAAGGAAAAACTTGTTGTCTGAGATTTTCATTCCATTCTTCTCTCTGAATATTCTTTTCAGATTTAACTTTAATGATGGGACTCCTTCAGCAAACTTTGACACCTTCCCTGCAGCCATCATGACTGTATTCCAGGTATGAGGCCAACTGGCAGTTAAAAGTGTTACATGGGATCCGCTCGACCACACACTACAAAATGATGAGGTCTTAGGAGAATCCTACTTTTCCTCTCCAGACTCCTCCCAGGCAACTGAGTGCTCTTACTTGTTGAGTAATCATCACCACAATTCCTAGGATTTCTGTAGCTGTTCTTACAAATTATGAAGGAGCTCTACTGTGATTACCTCATTGGCCTTTTCCCTACACTTGTGAATTTGCAAGAGATAAGTCTAAGACATTGAATAACGTATCGCATTGATGGTTTTCTGAAATCTCGAAGCATCTTCTAACCCATGTGTCCATTTAATGAAGTATCTTTTCCACCCACGCTCACACCCCACACACAGAAAACCTTTGTAAATCATAGGGGAATACTCAAAATCAACAATGTCTCAGAGCTAAAGAAAAACACAATTTAGCCAGAATCTGAGGCTGAACCAGAACCCAACGTCCTGAACTCCTGCACTGGAGGCACTCCCACGAGGCACTTTCTAATAATGATGCTGTCTCAGGAACTGTATCTGGGCAGCTCTGGGGATGGTCGGGTAGTGACCAAACCACCTGATCTGTGTGATTCCCACAGGCCTGGCAGAGCTGGAGATGGGAGGGACTCTGTAGTTTGATGAATAGACTCTTTCCTTTTGATGCTTTCCTTACACTTTCAATGCCTAAAATTCTCTTCCAAATTAGAAAAAAACTGACGACTATTCATAGGAGTGACTTTTTTTTCTCCTTGTCAGGATGGCCAAGCAAGGGGGTAGATGGAAAAGACCCAGGCCCAGAAATTTTCCCTTTATGTTGGCCGCATTTTCTCAGCAAACCCAGGTCTCCAAACTTGTCTGTTGTTTGTTTTGTGTAGATCCTGACGGGTGAGGACTGGAACGAGGTGATGTACAACGGGATCCGCTCCCAGGGTGGGGTCAGCTCGGGCATGTGGTCAGCTATCTATTTCATTGTGCTCACCTTGTTTGGAAACTGTATCCTTTTTAAGTTGCTCCTCTTTGTGCTGCCTGCCTGCCTGCCTGGACCAGCATTTGAGGATGTGGTGGTGGTGGTAGAACTGGGGTGGGGAAGGGAAGGAGGCTGGACATTGCTTAGTGTAGTAGGCGAAACAAGGATCCTGATCTTAAGGAACTTGTACACTAGTTAAGTAAAGAAGACAAATATTAGCAAGATAGAGTACCCATCTAAATCTCCAGTGTACACAAATAGTAACATATGAGGCTGTTATAGTGAAAGGTTGGTGATACTATGAGCTGGGGAAAATAAGAGAGGGAAGAGATCACTGTAGGCTGAAATAGTGGCCAGACTATAATATTAATGAATTAGTTACAAGTTAGTATAGAATAGCCTGCCACATAGTAAGATCTCAAAAAGTTAGTGTTATGATTAATGCTAATACTACTAAGCACAGCTAACCTTTATTGTATTTGTGCTATTCGTGAGACCCTGTGCTAAGTGCTTTACAGGCACTATTTCATCTAATTTTCACCTTGTAAGACTTTGAAGAAGTAACTTGATCAAAGTCAAACAATTACTAAATTATAAAGGGATACTAGAAACCAAGTCCATTTAACTGCAAAGCCCATGCCTGGTCACAGGATCTAGACAAGGAAGATTTAGGTTTTAATCCTAGGAACTCTGCTTACCAGCTTTGTGGCCTGGGGAAAGTCACTTAATCTCTCTGTGCTTCTAGTTTTCATGTCTGAAAGGAAGATAACAGAATCTGTCTCCTTTATTAGTTGTGAATAATTTATTTGAATGTACCTTATCAATGCAAACTTCTACAAGATCCTTAGATATTTTGGGGGAGGTGGGACTTGCCTTGAACTGGGATTGGTAAAATAAAAAGGGAAAGGGAGAGCCATGTGGTAGAACTATAATTTTGCCTGTTCCATAGTCTCACAGAGGAGAGATGCTCCTTTAAGTTTTCTGCCCTAAAGACTTTTAGGGGCCAGAGCAGATTATAAACTAAACACGAGAAACCCATAAAAAGAAAGCTATGCAGTAAGTCACAGAAATGGAAAGCCAGTTTGTCATAATGGCACCTTGATGTTCTTGTTACTCTGGGGTAGTTAGACTTGCACTTTTATGCTAGAACCAGTTCCGTGTTCCACAACACATGGGCCTCAAAGACAGTTGGAAAATCAGAACTTCAGAGGTTAGAGTGTGGAATAGAAATGGGTTCCATAAAGATCTTGTGCTGCCTGCCTGCCTGCCTGGACCAGCATTTGAGGATGTGGTGGTGGTGGTAGAACTGGGGTGGGGACATTTTGTGCTCAGTGACATTTTGTTAAATGAAATATAGAAGTCTTCCAGGGCAAGAAGAGTGAGAAGTAAGTTAGCATCCCATTATTGAGAACTAGTCAGAGATGGGGCTGTGGAATCTTATTTCTTTTCATCTTCAATAACAGAATAGCATGATTGGTCTAGGTGGGCTTCACTTTCAGTTTCCCAGAAAGGAGAAGTGAGCTCCTACGTTGAGCTCCTTACCCATCTTGTTGTTCAGTGACTCTCTATCTGATTGCTATGAGTAGAGGCCATAGCTGTCTAAAGGCCTCTGCACTCTATCTTGGCCCCCTGGGTCATTTGATTCAGGTATTTCTTTGTCCTGTGCAAAGAGATGATAAGTGGAAGGAGGGAAGACATAGTCTCCTTCAAACAGATTTGTATAACATCTTTCTCTCTCCTCCCACAGCCCCTGCTTGAGGATTCTTTGGGGTAGCTTCTGTTCCTGCTAGTATCCCAGGCAGAAAGATATGGCGATGCCGTCTCAGCCTTGCTGAAGCCTTTTGCTTTTCCTACTTGTCTGTCCTTAACTCATCATCCCAGACACACTGCTGAACGTGTTCTTAGCCATCGCTGTGGACAATCTGGCCAATGCCCAGGAGCTGACCAAAGTAAGCATTATTCTCTGGGGATCCGATGGTTCTCTAGTGCCATTGGGTGCCCTCTGGCCTTTGGAGCTCTTTCCAAAAATCTGCATTGTCTGGCCCAGGCCTGCCAGGAGGGCCCTTTCTAGGAGCTTTTGGATAGTTGGAGAGCCATAAATCCACAAGGAATCTTAGTTCACTTTCACTGAGTTTGGTAGCCTCAGACCAGCCTGGGTCTCTCCTAGGATACAGAAGATAACAGCTTAATCACCGTGAACTCAAAGGTGCCCTTTGCAGGATTATGATGTGGAGAATAAAGAAAACACAAAAGCCCTGGATTTAAGTTCCACCTCTGCTCCTGTGACCTATGGCTCTGTGACTTCATCCTTCTTGTTTTGAGTGTGAGAGAGACCGGGGGCATCACAATTCCTGGACTATTCCAGTGGCCATGGTCATTTTGGGGGCAATTTCAATGAAACCAGACGCTACATTTCTCAAGGAACTGTTCCTTTCTTTTCTCGAAGTCATTTCTCCAGGGGCAGAGACAATACTAATGGCAGTGAGATGGTCCAGGAAGATGAGTGAAAACTTCTCCTCACACAAAGCGAATTTGGTTTGGGGCAGAGGCATCCTAGTGGTGTTTCTGAGCTTCTTCCTTGTGTCCTATGATGTGTTGTCTGCTCTTCCCTACATCCCTGAGGGTCTTCTTATCTGCATGGTATAGTAGGGAAAATACCAGCTTTAGTATCTGAAAAGCTGAGTTTAATCTCAGCTTTTAATCTCTATATCTGCCACTTACTGGCTCTTGTAGCTTGGGCTAGATCCCTGATCTCTGTTAGCATTGGTTTCTTCATCTGTAAAATGGGAATGATATATCTGCCTTGCATACCTCACAGGATTACTGCAAGGATCAAGTAAAATAATGTATGTGAAACTAGAGCATGCTATGAAGATGCGTGTATTCTTAGTAGCTCTAGTCATTTTACCTGAACTGGCTTTCCTTGGTGTCCTCACATAGAGGGGACACTTACAAGTAGGAATGCAGGTGAGGGGATGAGGTTCCTGCCTGAGCACCTAGCATGGGGCCACGTAGCTGTGCAAGGAAGAAGGCCTGATGGGAGGCACAGCCTCAGTGCTTAACTTCAGGAGGCTCTGCCTGGAAGGGCCCTGCTGCATCACTTCCAGACACTGCAGAACGTCTGAGAAGTGTTGGCTCCTATCTCTGGCCTCCACAGCTGTGGTCAGCTCCACTGACGGCTAGAGGTTGGGGTAGACTTCCACAATCTATGGGGCAAGGCAGAGACCAGAATTGCTGGCCATGACAGGGCTGTGGAGGCCCAGCCCCTCTCCACCTGAGCCCTCTGAGCCAATCTAACCTCCTTCTGCCTTGTTTAACCTCTCCCCTTGCTTTCCTCACTTCACCTGGTCTCCAGAACTCCTTCTGGGGCCAGCCAAGGGAGCTACTCTCCTTCGTGGGGATCTCAGACAAAGCCATCTCTTCTTTATTTCTAGGATGAGCAGGAAGAAGAGGAGGCCTTCAACCAGAAACATGCACTGCAGAAGGCCAAGGAGGTCAGCCCGATGTCCGCACCCAACATGCCTTCTATCGAGTGAGTCGGCTGTCCCCACTTACTGACTGTTGGGCTTCTGTGCTAACAGCCAGTTCATCAACTCAAAACTGTTTATTCTCTGAGAGTGCCTACTCCGTGCCAGGAAATGTCCTGTGAATACAGCAGTGAGAAATACAGAGTCTCTGTTCTCACAGAGCTTTTATTTCAGTGAGCGAGATAGATAATAAACACACCTAGGTAATTTTAGATTGTGATAATTGCTGTAAAATAAATAAAACAGGGTAATAAGGCAGAGGGATGAGAGTTGGGTGGAGGACCTTTGGGCAATCTGAGAGGGATTCTCTGAAGAGGTGATGTTTAAGCAGAAACCTAAATGTGTAGAAGGCGGTCATGTGACGTTATGAAGGGAGCATTCCCCAGCAAGGTCTAGTGTGGCTGGTGTGTAGGGAACAAGAGGGAATAGAAGGAGACAAGGCCACGGAGGTAGGCAGTTGCCAGCTGAGGGAGGTCCTGAAGGCCCAGGTGAAGCATTTTAGCTTTTTTTCTAATTGTAACCATGGGAGAGTCTAAAGTGAAAGGATAGATAGGATATGATTTATGATCTGCTCCATGGAGAATGGATGGTAGGAGCCACGAGTGGAGGCAGGGAGACAGAGAGTTGGCTCTTAGAGTAAAGTAGGTAAGAGATAATGTGGTTTGGAGCATGGTAGCAATGGAGGAGATGAGAAGTAATCCCATTCAGTCTGTATTTGTAGGGAGAACCAATAGGATGAGCTAAAGGATTAAATGTGATGGGGGTGGGGTTGAAAGAGAAGAAACAAACATTTATCCCAGATTTTAAGGTTTGAGGCCTAAGGAACTGGGTAGATCGCAGTGGTATTTACTGATAGCCTGGAGAATGGTGGAAATCCAAAGTTTGTTTTGGCCACATTAAATTTGAGATACTTATAAGTCATCCAAGTGAAGATGTTGTTGAATAGGCCATTGGTTACATGAGTCTGAAGCTTAGAAGAGAAGTCAGGGTTAGAAATAAAGATTTGGGGGGAGCCATTTGCATTTGGATGGTATTTAAGCGATCAGCATGGGTGAGCTGACCCAGGGAGAGTCAGGTGGAGAAGAGAGGAGCTGAGGATGGAGGCCCAGAGTGCTCCTGTGCCTCGAGGTCTGGCAGAGGAGAAACCCCTAAAGGAGACTGATGGAGGGCAACCAGGAGGAAGGAGAAAGAACAAGGAAGCATGGTGTCCTGGAGACGTAGAGAAGAAGACTCTTCCGGAAGACGGGAGTGACAGTGGCACTAAATACTGTTGAAAGGTCATGTAAGTTGAGGACGGAAAACGGACCAGTGGGTTTGGCAAAATGAAAGCTGGTAGTGACCTTCACAAGAGCAGTTTCAGTGGCCTGGTGGGTGTAAAATCCAGTTGGAGTGGATGAGGGAGAGAATGGGAGGTGATAAGTGGAGCAGCAAGTATAGACTCTTTTTAAGGATCCAGCCTGGACCTGTGGTTGCTGGTAGAACTAACAGGGCTTGGGCCCTGCCTGGGGCTGACCTCTGCATGGTGCTAGAGGAAGGTGTAGGAGGAGAGGCTGAGAGATGACTGCAGAACCATGGAATTCCTATTGTTGCTTCTGGGCCTGTGTGAGGGGCTCTGGGGTGTTGATGGGGAGGTTCTGAGAGCCCAAGGAGGTGGAACTCTGTCCTGACACCAGACTCTGTCATCTGTTACTTGAAACTGTTAAGGGAGCAGCCCCTCTTTGCCCAGAGCTTGTGTGAAGTGTTCCTGAACGTCCTCTGCCTCACCTTGTAGAGGCGTTCCAGAGTTGTATGTGCGGGCCTCCCTCCCCTGCATGGCCATCATCTTCCTCTCAACTTTCAAAACTCTGATAGGCCTAGCCTCTGGGCCCATCCTCTGTGAGTGAGAAAAAAACTACCCCCCAAAATTTGTTAAGATTGATGGAGAAGGCAAATCAACTCCTGCCTCTCTAGAATATTCTCTGGACCTTGAGTAGTGTCTACCCCACTTTCCCTGCAGTCATGAGTTTGGGTTAAAAATACACAAACACAGGTATCCAAACATGCTGATGGGTAGGGCTGGCTGTCACTTAGGAGTGGGTAGTTCTATTTGCTGGGACAAGGAAGCCTGGGGGAGGAGTGGGTTTGGAGAGATGGGAGTTGGCAAGGTGCTTGGCCCAGAGTAGAAATTCGCTATTTATGGAATGAAAGAATGAATGAAATGCTGGTAGGCATAGAGCTGTAGGAATTGAGCCGTGTGTGTATCCAGGAAAAGAGAGGTGGGAGAAGATACTGTAACCATCCAAGATGAGCAGATCTAGGCTGTGATTGTGGTACATGTGCTGTGAGGTGGGTGCTGCTGGTGGGAACTGTGTCAGGGTGTGTATGCACTGCTTGGGGGTGCAGGCAAGACGGTGGATTATTGGACTACACTCTAAGTGAGAATGTGGCTGTACGTGGAAGAACACGGGAAGTTGCAAACCCAAGGGCCTGAGCACTAGTCATAGTGCTGTCACTCATACACTCTGTGACCTTGGAAAGAGAACCACTTAGGATCTCAGAATCTCTGTTTCCCTATCTTTGAAATGGGAAGAATACCAACTGCCCCTCCTGGTCTGCAAGGTTATTGTGGGGTGTGTATGAGGTCGTGTGTGCATGGGTTGGAGACATGTGGATGCTTCTCTGTGTGATTTTAGGTATGAAGGTATGTTAATGATTCTGATGGGATGTGAATCTGGATCTTTGTTTGTGTGAATGGAGAAGTGAAGAGAATTGAAGCGTGTATGTAATTCGTGTGGGAATTAGAGGTTGGGTCTGTCTTTTGCCTGGCCTGTGTGTGCGTATGTGTACGTGTGTGCATGCAAGAGAGAGAAAATTCTTCCATGTGCTTACACTCTTACACATGTGCTTCTGGAGGGCTGATATTTGAATATTTGAGAATTCACAAATAGATGGTAGAATGTGCTTTTCCTAGCGGGTGTGCGTCCTCCTGTCTAGAGCGTGTGCTTCTATCTCTACATGCTACCCTGCTTCTTGGCACCGCTGCGCCACGTGTGCCTTGTTGCATTGCAGCTGCCGACGCGAAGGGGTGCATTCAGTTGCGGAGCTCACAGACGTCTCCACAGTGATGTCTGCTTCCGTTCTGTGGGTGCTTATGTGCGTTGCACTTCTTCCAGACACAGAGTAAGGCTCAGACCAGCTGCCTGTGCTCCCTCAGCCCACCCATATGTCAGGCTCCTCTGCGGATGGGGGACCTGAGAGCTGAGCAGTGCTAGTTTGCCTAGCATGTTCTCCATTGGTGGGTGTCAGTTTTATCAAGGAAGGAGCAGCATTTGCCAACCTTCCGGGTCCAGGTAGGGCCCATTGGGCCAGACTGGATCTGTCAGCCCAGGAACTGGTCCACGCCCCCTCTGCAGGTATCCCAGATGTGTTTTCCCCCTCCTGAGCACCGGCCTTGTGCTGACAGCTTTATTCTCCCAGGAGTCCTATTTGCCTTTGCAAGTGATACCCACACCCCTGCCATTGACCTTGTGTTTGAAAGGACACAGCATGTGTGTGTCTGTAGAAGAGATTTTTCCCTGTGCAAGGCTAAGAAGGTGAATACTGTGCTTGACTGAACTTTCAAGGCTCTGGCCAGGGCCACTGTGTTGCACACATGCAGGGGGCACCGCTCATATCCTGAAGTACATGGATGGCAGCCCATGGAGTGGTGGCCCTGCCTTTGGCCATGGACTACTTCATGGCCTCGGTGGTGTGCATGGCAGAGCATTTGTTCCCTGCATGTTGTGTGAGATTGGAATGATAAGCTGGGGAGTCACACCCATGTGAAGATCCTAGAAATGAATGAAGTAAATATAGCTCTTCATCCAAGTTTACAGGGTTTCCAAAATAGGTCTCCGAAAGATAGATAGGTGCAAGCGTGAGTGCCAGTGGGCATGGCGATTGAGCATCCGAAGCAGTTTACTCTATGAAATGGTATATCCTCTGTGTCTCTGCACGCATGCTTCAAAAACTAGATTGGTGTGTTTGCACATAGCAAGGAGTCAGAAGTCCCTCCCTTAGGTAGTTGAAGGCTGGGAGTCTGCAGAGGGCAGCAGGCATGTGGAGAACATACGGGCATGTGGGGGACTCTGTGCCTCTCCCTGGAAATTGGCTGGTGGCTGTGGGGCTTGTGGTTCCTAGAGGTTGGGGTGAACTGAACCTGTTCGTTTTTCTTTCCCAGAAGAGACAGAAGGAGAAGACACCACATGTCGATGTGGGAGCCACGCAGCAGCCACCTGTATGTGTGTACCGGTTTGCGTGTTTGTGAGTGGTTATGTGTGGGTATGGGGGCACCGTGTCTTTGTCCTTCCCATGGACAAAGTGGCAGTGGGAGTGCATGTCGGTGTGTGCCGTGGTGTATGGGTGTGTGTTCCATGCACATGGTTTGTGGATATGCCCCTCTGCACCTTTCAACATGTGCTTAAATCAGTGTGTGTCTCAGGTATGTAACTCTGTGCGTTGTTCGCTCCTCTGTGTGGCCTGTGAGTGGGCATGTGTCGGTGTGGGTAATTAGTGTTGGTGGGTGTGCCTTTCACGTAGGCGGTTGTGTACAGCCACGTGTGGGCCTCAGTGACTGTGTGTGTGGGCACGTGTGAGTGTCCCCTTAACAGTTTGTAGGCATGCACCCACAGGTACACGTGAGTGAAGGAACAGGTGACTACCCTTCCACCCGTGTGAGCCCACTCCTGTGCGCTCTCCTGTGTGCATCACGTTTGTGTGTTCCGCTGCCACATGAATGCTCCTCTAGGCCCCTGAGCTCAAATGTTCAACGGTGGTTTTGAATATGAGCTGCTGGTGGTTTCTGCCCGTACAGTCCTCTGTGGTTTTATTGACTGTTGTGGAAGAGACCCACAGCACTCTTACTTTTTGAGGGTGATACCAAGACTTTTTGTTACATGGGTCTGCTTGTCATTGGCCTCACCCATTGATGGAATCTGACCCTTGTACTTCTCAGCCCTTGCAATCCCAGGCTGTAATCTGAAAGGGAAAGGAGAAGGGGGAGCAGGAGGAAGAAAGGTCTGTGACCTTGAAATAAGGGCCAGTGGTGGGCGCAGAGCGGGTACAGGTTGATGCCCCGAAAGCAAAGGAGAGCAGGGGAGTGAAGACCTGGTAAGCCTTTACACTGCTGCCCTACAGGCCCTAGGGACTGGGAGCTCCACCCTGGGTGATCCCCACCCCACCCAGCCCTCAGCTACTGCAGAGCAGGGGTTACAGTGGGAAGCCCCACAGACTGGGAGGCACTGGTCCAACCACCTATCATGTGTGGCCCACTCTGCTCCTTGCATCTTTCTGTGCTTCCTGTCTGCAGGTCCTGGGCTCTCCCGTTTGCTCCCCCCACCATGTGTCCCACCGTTTTCCCCTGGCCTCTGAGGGCTGGCCTACGCCCCTGTGGCTGCCCTCCCTGGCTCCCAGCTGTCAGGTTCTGACCGTGGCCCTCGCCCTTTCCCCTTTGCCAGGAGGGAGCGGAGGCGCCGACACCACATGTCGGTGTGGGAGCAGCGCACCAGCCAGCTGAGAAGGCACATGCAGATGTCCAGCCAGGAGGCCCTCAACAAAGAGGAGGCCCCGCCGATGAACCCCCTCAACCCTCTCAACCCACTGAGCCCCCTCAACCCGCTCAACGCCCACCCCAGCCTCTACCGGAGATCCAGGCCCATTGAGGGCCTGGCCCTGGGCCTGGGCCTGGAGAAGTGCGAGGAGGAGCGCATTAGCCGCGGGGGGTCCCTCAAGGGGGACGGAGGGAATCTATCGAGTGCCCTGGACAATCAGAGGAGCCCCTTGTCCCTGGGCAAACGGGAGCTGCCATGTCTGTCCAGGCCCTGTCATGGGAACTGTGACCCGACCCAGCAGGAGGCTGGGGGAGGGGAGACCGTGGTGACCTTCGAGGACCGGGCCAGGCACAGGCAGAGCCAGCGGCGCAGCCGGCACCGCCGCGTCAGGACGGAAGGCAAGGAGCCCACCTCCTCCTCCCGGAGCAGGTCTGCCAGCCAGGAGCGGAGTCTGGATGAAGGTGTGCCCACTGAGGGGGAGAAGGACTGTGAGCCCAGGGACGGCCATGGGGTCAAGGAACCCACAATCCAGGAAGAAGAGCGAGCCCTGGACTTAAGGAGGTAAATAGTCACAGGAGCGCCCTGGAGGCACATAGCGCGGCTGGTGGCAGGCATTCTTTAATATAAGCTTCTCTGAGCTTCAGTTTACCTTTTGTAAAATGGAGATGATGCTAACGTAGCCTTTATAAGGTATGTGTAAATATGGCAGGCAATGGGGTCTGTCCCCATGAAAACCTGGGTCTGTTCTTCTAGGGCGGCTCCTGTTGGGAGTGGGTCGTGGATGGATGGACGGGAATAAGCCAGGGGACACTGCCCGTGGTTCTTAGCTCCTCTCTGCCTGGCTGGGGGGGTTGGAGGAAGCGGGAGCCACGAGCTCTCCAGCAGGGCTCCTCGGCCCCCCTCACCTTTCCTGCTTGCCAGGCACATCACAACAGCTTCTTCAGATCTGAGCACCAGCTGTCTCCTCCTCTCTCTTCACAGGACCAACAGTCTGATGGTGCCCAGAGGCTCTGGGCTGGCAGGAGCCCTCGATGAGGCCGACACACCCCTAGTCCTGCCCCAGCCAGAGCTGGAAGTGGGGAAGGACGTGGCGCTGACGGAGCAGGAGCCGGAGGGCAGCAGTGAGCAAGCCCTGCTGGGGGACGTGCAGCTGGACATGGGCCGGGCCATCAGCCAGAGTGAGCCCGACCTCTCCTGCGTCACGGCCAACACAGACAAGGCTGCCACTGAGAGCACCAGCGTCACTGTTGCCATCCCTGACGTGGGCCCCTTGGTGGATGCGACGGTGGTGCACAGTGAGAACACAGTCCCTGTCTGCCGTCCCCCTTCACCCACACCAGGGCTGGGGAGAGTCATAGCGCTGGAGTCGTCCCAGTAAAGCTGCATGGAAATCCCCACTCGCAAAACGAAGCATTCTTTAACAAGTAAAAAATAGCGGCAGTTTTATCCCGGTTTGCAGGACAAATAAGTTAGAATTTTCTCAATCTTAAGTTTTGCCCATAAAATTTCCTTAAGCCTTTGGCCTCTGTGAACACCCTAGTCTTCAGAGAGATCACATGTGGCTTTGTACCCAATTATATATCAGGCTGTTCGATTGATTGTGTGACTATCTGGTGGTGTTCTCGGGGCCTCCAGGGTGCTCTGCTGCCTGGACAAGTTAGGGAACCTCGGATGCAGTGGAAGATGGCAGGGGGCTTGGGCTGGCCCTGGCTCTGCTCAGTGCAGGCCTCCGAAAAACCTCTGCGTCTCTTGAGGCCTCAGTTTGCCATCTACGCGAAGTGAGAGCTTCGAACCAGATGATCTGGGAGGTCTTTCCCTGTACTAACGTTTTATGACTCTATTACTCTTATCTACTCTTTTTCTCCTAGGACCTTTTAGTCTCTCACAGTTCCCTCAGGCAATGGATGTTAATCTACAGACTTTAAAGGGAAACACAGCAAAAAAGCACTTAACGTACACCATACCCCTGCCTAACCCTGAATCCCTGCCTAATCCCACATCCTGTCCCTTCCCTAACCCCACTCCCCAGCCCCACCCCATCCCTGCCCTAACCCCACACACCATCCCTGCCCTGACCCCACCCTGTCTCTGCATTGATCCCACCTGCTGCCCCATACTCACTGAATTGTGCCATAGGATTCCACCCCTGCTTTTTTTTCCTCCCTTTTTCCCTATTTTTCCCTTTTCACAGAACAGTTTCCTCTTCCTGCCCATCCTTCTTCCACTGCCCCATCTCCGTTCCTTCACCCTCTCTACACCTACAATGCCAATTCTACTTTAAAAAGTGAAATCTTCCACGTCCCGTGCTCCTGGGGTTGGCCAGGGCATGTCTCAGGATCTCAGATGCACAACCTCTTTTGGTGTCTGTTGAATTTTTACTCTAATAAATAAATGTTTTGGATCCTTTTTTATGAGAAACAGCATTAAGAAAGTTTGACCCTCCCTCTATTCCCATTCTGGGGCTAGTCCATGGCCTTGGTTTTAGGTAAGAGCATTTTATCAGAGGGCTTTGGATATTTTGTATGACTCACCTTTTGGAAGGACCTTGAAGGGGCCGGAAGCTCAGAGATTTGCTGCCTACACAAGGTTCCAGGGTGGAGTCGTTCACTGAATGGGAAGAGTGGGAGAGGTTGACTGATCCCTTGCCCTACTCTGATAGCCTCAACCTCTCTGCCATTTACCCCACACTGGGACTTGCATATGGAAACAGAGGGCAGCGGCCCAAGAGCTCCCCTTAATCTCTGGCTTTTCATCCTCTCAATCCTGGAATGTGGTCATGGGCCCATGTTCACATGAATATTGCATTCTCATTTCTGGAAAAAGCATAGCCAGAAAGGCAGCCTCAAACAGAGTAATGATTTCTTAAAATCTTCCACTGCAGTGAGATTTCATTGAAAGGATATAGGATTTTGAATTGGGAGCCCATACTAGCTGAATAACTTGAGGATAGGTATTTGAATTCCCTGAACTTCAGTTTGCCCATCTGTATAATAGGAATAACAATACATGTCACTCAAGGTGTATTGATGTGAAAATTCATCAAGTGAATATACGCAAAGAATTCAGATTTTAGATATAAATAAATTTTGTAAACTTTACAACAGAAACAGCCATTCTGTTTACCATCCTGTTATCTGGGGAAATATGATTATTATTATTTATGTGGCAAAAAAGGCTAAACCACATAAAATGAGGGCAAAGGTAAGGCTAGGGAGAGAGCAAAGGCTTAAGCCAGTGTAGTCTAACAAACACCCTGATGTTTGCAGGGCACCTTGCCAGGCACATTCCCGTAGCCATTTCCCTTCCCCTCCATCCCCTCCCCAGTGGAAAATGAAGGGCTCCATTCTCGCATGTAGCCAGGTTTCTGAACATTTCAACATGTTCCTCTTGCAGTTAGCAACAAGACTGATGGAGAAGCCAGTCCCTTGAAGGAGGCAGAGATCAAAGAGGAGGAGGAGGAGGTGGAGAAGAAGCAGCAGAAGAAGGAGAAGCGAGAGACGGGCAAAGCCATGGTGCCCCACAGCTCTATGTTCATCTTCAGCACCACCAACCCGTAAGACACCCTCCCGTCGCCCCCTTCAGTGCCGGGGTGAACAACCAGGGTTTGAGCCAGGGCAGGGTGATGAGGCCAAGGAGAGATGAGGGCCCAGTCGTCTCCCTGATCCTTCCCAATGGGATGTGGCCAGACATCTGAAGCATCTAGGGTGCTCACTAGCCGAGGTGGGTCATGGAGTTGAACAAGCTCTGAACTCTGTGCCCATAGTCTAAAGAGTATTTTAAGACAGGAAAGCATGAGACTGTCATGAGGAAAGGACCCTTCACCTATTCTTTGGTCATTATGTGGCATGAGTGGGAGGGGGAGGAAGGAAATCTGTTGGGGATATGTCACCAAATATTCCAGAGGTGGACACCTGAGAATATGGAGCCTAGAATGACTAGATCATCCATTGGAGTTTAGGTGTATTGGTCCCACTGCCCTACGTGTGGATTTTGAAATGGGCTTGTTCTTTAGAGCTGAGGTAGGGGCATGAGATGGGGGTGGCAGAGAAAAGTCTGGAAGATTCAGTTCAGGAAAGACGGAATTTTGAAAGAGAAGCTGCCTTCTGCCTTGGAAGTGAGCAAGATGTACACACGTAGACCAGCCTCTGAGGCTAGGAAGGAAAGAAGGCTTTCAGTGGTCACATTGCCCGTGTGCAGGCAAGGCTCTGGGAAGGAAGGAACCTGGGCTAAGGTATGTCGGGGCACCCAAGGCCAGATGCTCTCTGTAGAATATAGTTGTTTTAATCAGTATACCTGGGGTTCATGAAAACCTGTTGCTGCTTCCATCAGGAATCTTAGAATCGATTCTATTTTTATGTTTCTTGGTTGTTATGATTTTCTGGCCATGCCCCCATTTCCATAGAGTGGAGGGCACCGTGTAGCCACCCTGAGTGTGTGTAGTCTGATGCTCACTGCTCCCCGTGGCTCAGATGTGCTCGCAGATAATTCATCTTGGCTTGCGTACTGCAGCCTCTAACCAATCTGATTACCTTCCCCCACTGGGGCTTTAAATCAAGGGTGGTGCCTGAGAAATTAAATTGCTCTCCCCGTGGCTTCCTCTGGCCAGGGCCTGGCTGTCTAGAAGAGGTTGATGTACGTGGGGGTGGGGAGTGAGGGATGGGGATGGGAGGGAAGCGGGGCCAGCTCAACGGGCTCATCCACCCTGCAGGATTCGCAGGGCCTGCCACTACATCGTGAACCTGCGCTACTTTGAGATGTGCATTCTCCTGGTGATCGCAGCCAGCAGCATTGCCCTGGCGGCCGAGGACCCTGTCCTAACCAACTCTGAGCGCAACAAAGTGGGTGCACAGGGGCCATCTGCCAACCTCCGTAGTGCCCTGGTGCCCACCCCATCCCAGCCCCTCCCCATCCCCCTCCCTGTGCCACCCCCACTCCCCAACCACACTGCTGCATGCCTTTATGCTTCGCAGTGGGCCTTACACCCAGAGCCAGCCAGGGCTTTGAAGGGGGTCTGCAGTCACCCATGGGCTTGGATGTGGGGTCTGACATAGGGTCATGGGTGGTGTGTGTGAAGTTGGGCAGCTGCAGCTCTATCACAGGAAGTTGAGAAATCCCTGGAGGTCCCAAGGGTGTATGTCGGGAGGTATGAGGCGGGTGGGAAGGGTTGGAATTGACAAGGATTCCAGGTCCTGAGGGAGAGATTTGTGGGGCAGTTCAGACCCAAGAAGTTAAGTTCTGGCCAAGGGGAGGGAAGGGCCAGGGACTGGCCCCCAGGTCACACAGCTCCAGCGGTATCCATGGCTCCTCTCTTCCCTGCGTCCAACAAACAGTCACAATGAGTAGGGGTTGGGGTGCGCGTGCAGACTGCATGTGTCCGTGGGCAGATGGGAATGTGTGTGGCCTGGTGGCTACACACGATCCTCCTCCCCTCCACCGTGCGTGTCTTACAGGTCCTGAGGTATTTTGACTATGTTTTCACTGGCGTGTTCACCTTTGAGATGGTTATAAAGGTAAAAGCCTTGAGAGAAAACCTGGGCTCCGGGGATTGGATGGGTCACCTGTCTGCTTCTCTAGTACAGTGCCCTTCCCCAACGCTGTCACCTGCTGGTCAATGATAGGACCTCAGCAGGGCCTCTGCCGACCCCACCTCTGGCCTCAGAATCCTGATGCAGTCTGTCTTGGCACGACATGACCACGTGGATCTGTTTGGACTGGTGCAGAGCTGTGCATGTAGCCCACAGAGGAGCCTGGCCCTCTCTCGCAGGCAGTGGGAGTGCGGACAGACTTGGGGACTGCACTTGCCTCCCCAGCTGCTTCCCGGTTGAAGCCTGGGTGCATGTCAAGGCAAAGGGTTAGGTAGAGATGAGTCTTCCTGGACTCCATCTAGTCCTAACCACACTCACTGCCCGCTAGCCTGTTCCCCACCACCCTAACACCCCACATTTCTATCTTGTTCCCAGTCTCACCCGTTTGGGATTTTTCCCATCTGTGCATGTGTGGCGATGCCTGGTGCTCTGAGCCAAGGAGTCTCATTGAACACCGGTGACTAAGAGAAGGGGCCTCAGGCCTCATAGTTAGGTGGGGACAACCTCTGCCACCTGTCCTCTTGCTCTTCAGGTCCCCATGTAGGGTTGGTTGTGGAGACAGTGGCAGTGGAGACATTGTCATGGGAATCCCAGAGCTCAGGGCACACGTTGCTGGCACCTCCTGGGTTCATCTGTGGTTGTTCATCCTTCTCCTGCAGATGATAGACCAGGGCTTGATCCTACAGGATGGGTCCTACTTCCGAGACCTGTGGAACATCCTGGACTTTGTGGTGGTGGTTGGTGCCTTGGTGGCCTTTGCTTTGGCGTAAGTAACTTTTTTCTTGTTCGATTCCCTTCTCTTCCTTCTTCCTGAGACTCTGGCTGATTTGAGGCCTTCTCCAGGGCCAGCCTGAAAAACGGTTGACTCAGAGTGGTGCCATAGAATGCTGCCCTGGAAATCTGCTTCCCGGTTGCCTTCAACAGAGCTCCTAAGAGCCTTACAGCTTTAGCTCACATGCCCTAAGTGGTAGGACTGGTGAAGGAGCAGCAGAGAGAGCCACTAGCGAGAAGTCAGAGGCCCTGGAGTTCCTTTCTTGGAGATGAGTAAGCTTGGGCAGGTACCACCTGTGTGGGCAGTGCCTCCGTGGGCTCAGGGAGGGACCCAGGGACAGCTGATAGACCCTTTCATTTCTCGATTCTGTCAAAGGATTAGCTTGAAAGAAAAATGCAGAGGGTACAGCAAAATTGGGGATCACAGAATCCTGGGCATGGGGAGATTCTCTCCTCATGAGCAGGGATTCCCCAGAGCTATTCTTGGGGCATAAGAACGATGTTAATATAAGTCCAGAAGGAAAGGCTTTCCCAACCTTCCTTGATAACACACTTAGGAAAACAGTCTTAAACCATTCTAGTGACCATGTTCGTTACATTTGGGGATTTTCTTTTCAAACATTGATCCAGGTGTAGCAGGTTTTCAACCACATTCTGACATTTCCTGAGGAATCCGGCCAAGGAAAGGGCACTCCTAGCCCCTCAGGGTATAGCTAGGAAATAGGTATGTTGTCAAGGCCTTCTCCTTAAGCTGGTGTGTAGCGTGCCCCAGAAGATGAATGACAGCCTTTTGGGCTCTGTCTGTACCTGTTCCTCTGCCAGAGTAGCTTCACCCTCTTTCAGGTGGCACAGAATTCCCTGCAGCCTCTCTGAGTACAAGAGGGAGCCAAGTCTTCTAAGCAAGGCTAGCGCACCGTGTGATGGGGTGGAAGGAAAGCATTCGGGTGCTGCTGTCATTGATGGCAGCTGCGAAAGGGAAAGAACAAAATCCCTCCACAGGTTGGACCTTCCCAAGTCCAAGTAGTGGTCGGAAAGGGATCAGCCGTCCCGCCTTCTCCCCAAGCACCGTCAGCTTCCATCCCTCTCCATTCTGGCAGAGAAAAAGGTGGAGTGAGAGTTAAGAAAGAATGTTCTTCAAGTGGCTGAGGGTGGGGAGCTCCATGCCTGTAGGAGGGATGAAAGGCTAAGAATTTAAGATCTCCCAGAGCCTGGAAGCAGACTGTGTTCATTGCTGCCCAGCCATGGGGGACCCTCCAAAGGAGAGCTGGATTGAGTGTGGCTCGTGACCCTGAGCTGGGCTGGCAGTCAGGGAGATTCCAGTGTCCCTTGGCCCATGTGCACCAGCGTATTAACCCCATTAGAGTCACATGGAATCATCTGTGCCCCTCACAACAAAAAGCCTCCTTATTAGATGAGGCTGAGCTGTTCCGGAGGAAATTTCACGAAAGCCTGGTATTTTCCCAAGCATCCGGGCCCTGTCTGGATTCTCACAGCAAACTAAAAATAATAGCAGCTCTGGCTCTACCAAGGGACTCCCAGCTCCTCGTCCTCCTCTTTCCTGGAAAAGAAGCGTTCAAGTCTGCCTTTGTCCTAAGGAGGCCCACCTTTTTTGTTAAGGATAAATATTACTCTTGGGTTTTTTGGGTTTTTTTTGTGAGGAGATCAGCCCTGTGCTAACATCTGCCAATCCTCCTCTCTTTTTGCTGAGGAAGACTGGCCCTGGGCTAACATCTGTGCCCATCTTCCTCCACTTTATATGGGACGCCGCCACAGCATGGCTTGCCAAGCAGTGCGTTGGTGTGCGCCTGGGATCCGAACCAGCGAACCCCGGGCCGCCACAGCAGAGCGCGCGCACTTAACCACTTGCGCCACCAGGCCAGCCCCCTACTCTTGGGTTTTTAAAAGGTCAAGTTCCCTTCTCATTTTATCAATTCGTTTGCACACATTGTTGGCCATATTGTTGTTCTCCCTTATTTTGATCTCAGTAAAATAATTTGTCTCTCTGAAGAAATAAAGGACAAGGAGAGAGCAGCACAGAGGAAAGAACCTCCCATCTTTAGGAAGAACAGAGCGCCTTGGGGGTGACAGGGCAGAGTGGGAGGAGGGGTGTGGGCTGTGGAGCCAGGCAGACCTTGGTTTGAATCCCAGCCCGTCTACTTACCAGCTTCACGTCCTGGAGCAACATAGCAAGACATTAATCCTCTTAACTTCGGTTTCTCATCTCTGGAACAGAGACAAAATCATGTGTGTAAAGTGCTTAGCACAAGGCCTGACCTGGGTGAGTGATCAATAAAGGTTAATTCCCTTCCTTATCATTCCATTCTCCCATGACATCATGAAGTCCACATATCAGAGCAAAGTGTGTGTGGGTGCATAACATATGCAAATAAATGAGGTGAATGCAGGCTGGTTTCCAAGACTTGGTTGTTTTACACACACACACACACACACACACACACACACACACCCCTTGCCTGTGTGCCTGGTAATGAGGCAGGTGTTTTGGTGCCCGTGGAGAGGAGGTACATTTTAGAGGAAGCCTCTGCATGCCTGCACCATGTCCGCAGTCCAGCTGTCTCTCCTCAGATCCAGAGCAAGGACGACGGGCTGGAGGGTTGTCATCTGTCTTGTTCTTTCTTTGTGTCCTTTGAAAACATGGTGGTGGTGGCTTTGGTGCTGGCGGCAGGGGAAGCCTTAACAGCCCTGGAGCCGAAGTCTCTCTGTTGGTCCTCAGATCAGGTACAGTGCAGGGAACCCCAGGAATACCCTAGTTCTGGTGTCCACGCTTATGTGATGGATTGAGTGTTATGATCCATTACTTGCTTTTAGTGATGTCACTTCTTGAACTCGTTATTCGTTTTTCTCCGAAATGTAAATGGTACTTGCTCATCCTTCTCCATCCGCTCTCTTTTGTTATCATCCTTCTAAGCTTGCCATGCACATTTCCTCTCCCCTTTCTCCTGCTTGTGGAACAGGCTCACATTCACCCTTCTCTAGCCTTCTTCACGTTTGCTGAGGTTCACGTAACGCTTTCTCTTGCTCATATGCGCGCACTTCCTAACTCTCTTCTCTCCTTTTCCTCGTTAAAGGCACCAGAGAATTCAGCTCTCCCATCACTTTGGTGGGGTTAGTCAGTGTCCCACCTGCCAGCAGAGTGAGGGCCTGGCTTGGGGCAGACAGCAGAATAAAGCCTATGTCCCACTGGGGGGCTGTGATCAGGGGCTCAAGCCAACAGGAAACCAAATGTGGGTTTTTCTGCAGGCTTTTCAAGGATCTCCCTCCTTGTGGTTGCAACTTTCATTGTAATATACCATATATTTGCCCCTGGGAGTATCGACCTTTCAGAGAACCTTACTCCTGCCCTGTCTTTCCTCCTTGAAATTGAACCTTGCCCTACTGAGGCTTCTGCAAAGGCTGTTGCTCGGTTTGAGCAGAACTGATGGTGAGTCCCATGATAACACCTTTATATGGCTCCTCAGAAATCAGAGGTAACTTGGTATCCCTTCTGCCACAGCCAGCCAGAGCCTTCTCAGAACCCAGCCCAAGTCCCAAGAGCAATGCCCCTAACCAAGGGGAGGGAATGGCCTCTAGCTGAATTCTCAAAGAAAGCTGCGTGGCCCCCTGAGCCCTTCTCCTGCAGAGGTCTGTACCTGGCACCATGTATGTTTTCTATAAACATATATGTTGTTTATGTAGTGGCTGAAGAGAAATCTCTCTTCTCTATAGCTGCATACATCAAGTGAAGGGATTCTTTATAATGTAAACCTGACAAATTCCGTTTGGGAACTTGATTGACTTTTGAGGAGGAGGGGAAAGGGATTTATTTTATAAGTATGGGCATACCAACAGGTAAGAAAATAAATGGAAAGATACTCATATTGCACCTTTCCCGTTCTTCCCAGTCCACTTTTACATTATAAAGCATTTATAAGGACACTCAGGTCTCCTTCTTGAGCCCCGTACCTGGGTAGGGAGGTGGGCAGAGTTTGGCAGAGGTTGGGTATGGCTCTCCCTATTCCACTGCCCTCACAACACCCCGCTTTCTGGGCCATCTGGAGACAGAGTGTTTGCCAACTATAAATGTCCCAAATGTGCCTTTTCTTCATTGAGGTTTCAAGAAAAGTCTGGTGAGTGACTGGATCTATGAAACCTTTCTCTTTCACCTTTTTCTATCTAAAAAAGAGGAGTCCTTCTCTTTGATAATTATTTTACACTGAAGGACCAGACACTGCTTTTCCCAGTTTCCTCGCAGCCTGTTGCCATCACTTCTGCCTCCCGGCCTCCTGGGTGGGAAAGCAGAGATGGTTCCAGCCTTGGCATTTCTGGGTATCTGCACAGCAGGCACAGTCCCTCACTTTGGGGCACCCCCCAGAGTCAGCTCCTTTGGAGGGGAGTCATGTGGCCGCTATGCCAGATTGAGTTCATGAGCCTTGTGGGATCCTGCACAGTGATGGTGATGCTGTCTGGCCCTAGGTTTCATGTCTTCAGCGTTTAGTGAAGGGCTTTGGGCAGGCAGATGGGTGGAGACAGCATCTCAGGAGGGAGCACAGGGGAGGATTGGAAAGGTGTGTGTGGTCCTGCACTCCAATCCAAGCCCCTCGCCCTCTGCACTTCCATTGCTCTACAACGTGTTACTTGTAACGCTTGACGAGCTCAGGTCAAGTCGCCAGGTGTGCCCTCCTGGGTTGGGTTCTAAATAGTGAACTCACAGCTTATAATGGCTTGTCAATACCAACATTTTAAAAGAAAAATAACTAGCATTTCTGCTCCCACCTCCTCCCGTACTTGGGCCTATGCATCAGTCAGAGTCATGCAGGCTCTCTGGCAGCAGGTGCCAAAGCTTCCCATTGCTGTTTGCCATCGTAGCGGGGCACGAGGTAAGGTCAGGACTCCCTGGCACGCAGGGGGTCTGGATCACAGCCGCACTTGGCCTTTCATTATTCAGTCTTTAGCCAGAAAGGAAAAACATGAGTCAATCTGCCTCTTGATGCCAGA